CGGTTGCTCGTTCCGAGAGGCCCAGCCTCAACAAATGACTTTCACCTCATTCGTGTCAGGTTTGAACCTTCTGCTCTGCTAAACCCCTTGTGTACAGCGTATGTTGGCTAGTCGCAATGACCGATTAACCTGCGTGAACATCCTTGCGGCACTGCCGCATCTTTCTCTGCATCGTCTTGATTGGCGTCTACAGGGTGCTTGATCGCCATCCGAGTGGATGTCAGCACAGAAGCGGTGGCCGGAGCGTCACGAATGAGTCGGGTTGGCATCCAAGCGTGGGAGCTTTCCTCAAGCAGCTGTCATTGCATAGCAGCAGTGCTTGGGTAAGTCCGAGCAAAACCTCTTCTGCGGTGAGAACTCGCAACGGAGGGGCAATCCCGAGAGGGTCAGCAAATAGCGGGGCAGGAATCGAAATGCAGTCTGCATCTGCATCGGCATTCGTGCGGACTCACGAGCTGAAGCAAAATTGGGAGAAGCGAGCAGCTTCTCAAGAGAAAATCTCGCCGCTTGCGACGAGCAGCGCAAGCCTGCATGAGGAGTTGCTCCGCGGAAACATATTCAGCCATATCGAGAATCTGCCCAGGTACTCCAATGAGGCTTTTGATTGAGACAAGGCTGGGAGCTAAAATCTTGACATTCAAGCACATCCAAAATCAAAAACAAATGTGAGGAATGAGCAAGCTTCAATCGAACAACTCGACTGATATCAAGAAGTCCAGCTCTGGGATTGAGATTGACTGAGGTATCATTTGTTCTGAGACGGAAAATGACTGGCACACGACGCAAGATCGGAATATCCCAATAATTGCGAGCCTCACGTCGATGTTTCTTGTCATATTCTTTGGAGAAGCAAGAGCTTGGATTGAAAATCTTACTTGGCCAGAACTTTCCCGTCATCCGGTATTGGCTGCCAAAGCCAGACATCCTAATCAGGGCTGCCCGAAGCAAGCTGGACATTTCCTGTAGACTGTTCCAACACACAGGACAGACAGCTATCCACAACTCTGCTCACCACTGTCTGCCGGACTCTGACACTCGGCGAGAAAGGGCCCTTACATACGCGAAAATCATGACTTCCGAGCAGCTACTCGGCGTGATCGGCAGCAGCAATCACTCGTCCTCCAGCCATCCCCCGATCTCTCTCTCTTGCTTACACGCAGCCAGGAGCAGGTTAGGTCTCGACCTACTCTCTCCCCCTCTCCTTGCCGTTGCATCCAGTCGTGTGGCTAGAATCTCAAAGCCTTTTGCCGAGACCGCAGGGACCGCAAAAGTTGAACCCCGTTGCCATATGCGAAACGCTCGAAGTGCTTGCTGGGTCGATCCATGCCAGAGTTCCAATGCCCGCAAGTCCGTCCCAACCCCGATCCGGGGAAGTGCCCCAAAGCTTCTTGCAGGGCTATAGACTATAGTTACAGGGACTATATGGCTGCACCGAAAATGACCTGACACAACAGGCCCTCCAACCAACGACAATTCGACAATCGCGAGGAGTAGCAGTGAACTGTTTCAGTGTAAGAGTTTGCCATGGTCATGGCATCGGTACTTCGCAAATGCTGCCGGCATCGGTCATTCGTGCTGCAGCTCCGAGGGCACACGTGGCACACGTACTAACCACAGGTCTGACCTCCGATCCCGACTTCTGCTCAAGCTCCGACTCCTGGCCAAACACGAACGATCTCGCAACACGATGCCAACATCAAAGTCACAAGTTTGCTGGATGCCTGTTTCTGGCCTTCTCTCTGCCTTTGGAGCTCGCACTGCTTTTTCCTGCTTCAGGGCTGTGAAGGGTCTGGCAAACCATAGCTATGCCGCCCCCCATGACTCGCAGCATGAATCGTAATGCTGTCGTACACTTCCTCCGAGTGCTGGTTTTACACACAGGCAAGCACCTCCTGGGCTCTTCGACTTCCTGTCCTTCCTCTTCTGGAGCTCCCTCTCTGGGCTTCCCGCGCGACTGCGGCCTCCGCAGCATTTCGGTCGTTTTTCTTTGCGATGCAATGAGCACAAACGTGCAGAGGGAGAGAGAGAGAGAGAGAGAGAGAGAGAGAGAGAGAGAGAGAGAGAGACAGAGAGAGCGAGTTCTTCTCAGCAGGCAGCTTCGGGAGACGGATGCCTTCATTGAGCACAGTCGATTGTCATCTTTATCACGGCGAAGCTGAGAGCATGGCTTTTAACTTCAGCTGCTTCTTCTTCTTTTCTTCTTCGCTGCTGGACGGGCTTTCTTGCCTTCAAAGCTTGGGCATTCCCTGCTGCTTTTTGCAGGGAACAATGCGCGCGCTGACCAACAAGGTTCAGTCGTGTTCAGCACCACATCGAACATGCCCGACTCTAAAGTTTCGACAGCTGCTGGGATCTCCAGAGACATCACTGGATTTGTGCGTCTGATCACCACATACCATAAGCGCCACCTCTGCTTCTTTTTCTCATCCCCAGCCTTTTTCTCCAGCTTCTTCTCAAGCTCCTGAATTACTTTGTTTAATGCTGGCTACTTCGAGCATCCACAAGCACGAGCAGGCTCTCCTCCACCTCTTCCTTAAGATCTCGGTTTTCCTTCTTTCTTTTCTCGAGCTTGGTTTCTAAGGCATCCTTGCAGGGAGTCTGCGGAAGCCAGCAAAGCGCTCCCAAGCTGCCGCTGTGCCGAAGTGCCTTCTCATCTTGCAACTCCTGGATTGCATCTCGCTTCGCCTCACTTCGATGCTGTATGCCATCAGTTGCTGCTCGTTTGCCACGCAAATACCGGAGATGATGCCTGCAGCTTCTCTTCGAGTTTCTCCAGGCGACCTTCTGCCTGCTCGTTTTATCTCAGAACCTACAAAGACTATACAACAGTTTATAACAATCACAAGTTCGCGAGGTGTTCCAGACGACCCCCGAGCTCCCGGCTTTCTCCTGCCTCGGTAGCAAGGGAGAAACCACGTAGGCACGCGAGACGAACAACAAACCGCAAGCAAACACAACCCTTGCAAAGTCGTCGCCACTGAACGAACATTGTGCAAACTCTGAGGAAGTATCAGAATCCTGTGCAGCCGAGCCTTAACAGCGTCGCAAGCTGCGAAAAGCAAACATAATCGTCGCAGACCACAGGCAGCCACAAAATCAGGCAGCAATAACATGCTGAAGCAGCTCCACGAAGCACACCAAAACTGCACACCTTCGGGCCCGCGACAGCCTACGGGTGGGGTCGGCGTGTAGAGTTCTTTGTGTTGGGGGCTTGTGTTGGGTTATTCTGAATAGCCTGGGTTTGCAACATCCGCGCAACGATGTTCTGGAAGGATTCTTCTTTCAAGGCTGGAGGGTTTGCCGTCAGCCCGCTGACTGGGATGTTGGGGGGCTGCGTTACGCATGGAAAACTCCATTGCTGGTGCTGTGGGCAGGGTCTGAAACGGCCGACTTAGGGCATCCGAGGCATCCTGCACCGCACCATCTGCTGTACGAGCAGGGAGACAACAACTTCGACGAAGGACCCGCTCAGACTCGCAAACAATCTGGAAAACATCACATAGGCCGCAAGGCATGTCAGGCCATGTTTCGGCGCTCACACTCGGACAAACCAGGCGAGGCATAGGGTTCGAGGTCTGATGAGTGTTTAAGGCATCAGCGAAAGCGAAACAACGTCTCTGAAGCCTGTACGAACAAAGCTCATCCAAGTTGGTATCGAGTTTCTGGCACCTGTCATATGTCGACATGAGAGGCTTTCGCAGTTCCAGGATCCGGAAACGAATGCTCTCTCTCTCTCTCTCTGTCTCTCTCTCTCTCTGTTTGCGACAGGCCATGCCAAGATCACCTTCGAACACGATCTTATGACCGTTGGCCCTGAGTGGATGGCGTGTCAGTGACGAGTCGAATCGCCTGGACCCAGGCCTGGGTGCCTAGTGGATCGAGCCTGATGCACTGATGGGGTCGTGCCGGTGATACCCCAGTCATAGTCAGGAGATGGGAAGTCGTGAAGACAACAGCAAGAAGTTGTCGATGGTCAGTATCTTCTGGTAACATCTTATACAGGTATACTGTATACTCATTCCGAATCTGCAGCATGACCCAGGTCCAAACCCTAACACAAACTCGTCTTGCAGCGCCAAGCCTCGGAAACCCTAACAAATCCCAGGGCGGGAAGCCAAAGCAAGCCCATGCCCTCAACCATACAACAGCGTCATCCTCTAGCCAGATGACGCCTGTCCCCATAGGAGCGGCTTAAATGGCTTTCATAATACGCGCTGAAGGCTTCAGCTCTGAATTGGGCCAGGTTGCGCATCACGCGCAGCAGCAACATCAGCTACTGCTTTCCTCGACGCTTCCTTGGCCTGACTACGCGGACTTCAGGCAGCTTTATCAAACCCTGAAACACAGCCTCGGCTAGCTCACGCTTGAGTTCCACGACCTTCTGCTGCTCTGCCTCGAGATCTGCAAACCTATCGAACTGCCGGCATCTTGCATGTCTCCCACCTGCACGGCATTCTGCATGGCATCTTCTGCTCTGGCCAGCAGAGAGCGGGTTTCCGCAAAGGCTGTAAGGGCTTCCTCATAGCTAGGCATGTCCTCCCACGCCTCGCAAGGGCACAATCTCACACGCAACAACAGCTGAGCGTTGCTGTTGTTGCTTGGTCTGCTATGTTTGGATGCCGTTTTTGCTGGGTCCTCGCGTGCGGGATGCCTCAACGCGGAAAGCTGGCCAGGGAGGCAAGCACAGTTGTCAAGAAGCCCGGCATTTCAGCTTCACTGTCGAGCCCAAAAATGCACGAGATCAAGGTGTGGTGCTCTGGGCTTTCTTGCCCCCTGAAGGTGCCTGCGATTTGCTCTGACGGAGCAGCAGGAGCGAACAGGAGCATTGTCCGAACGCTTCTTTTCGTTGCAAGAATCCTCCAGACAAACATGCACCTAGCTCCGTAAACTCTTGCACCGCCCGGCGTGCTGCTATCTCGCACACTGCATGTATTGCATGATGACGTGTTTGCTTTTGCTATGTAATCGGTGAAACAGGTCGGTGGGAAGGTAGTTGAGCTTCAGAATCGGCCCTTGATATACTTTCTGGCTCGAGCCTCAGACTTCCATGGATTAGAAACCGGGAGCGGGCTTGGAACCAGGGTTCCGGCTCTTCCTGCTCGGCCGGCATCAAAACCCTTGGTCGATCGACCATTGATTTTATACCATCCTGGGAAGCCACGGTACTTCACGCCAGTCCACCGCGCCTGCAGTTGCACGTCTCCGAAAGTTCCAAAGCTGCGCAACTCAAGCGCCGTCGCCTCGTGGGGCATCAGGGGTTCTCGCATAGTGACTTGGACTCCGGCTGGGACATGTGCTTCGACCTGAGAATGTATCTCTAGCATCTCCAGGAGTAGCAGGGTGAGCAGAGTCCAGGGTGCTGGACCACGCATTCGCCGCAACCAGTTATTGCGACCCAGCCCAAGCCAGGAAAAACAATGTCAGCGCCTCGCGAGCTGAGGAATCGACTTTGCGAGGGAGGCTTCAGTCTCAGGCGACGACATGCTTCGTCCCATCCTGTGCCAGAGAGCCTCAGCAAGCGGTCCCGACCATCCAGGCAACGGTCCCCGCAGGACATCTCATACTCTGGGCACCGGACGTAAACTGCTGAGATTCAAAAGGCAGCAAGCTGTCGTACCGACGAGCGTCGACAGGAGGTGTCAACCTGAAACTTCTTTGCACCGGCCAGCTGAGACCGGCAGGTCTGAGACTGAGGCACAAGCTCGTTTCCTGCCCACTGCTTGCAAATCCGTGCTGCCTCCCGCACCAGCACATCAAGCAACTGTGTGTCCCTGAATTCATGCCTTTTTTTCACGTCCTGGCCTTTTCAACGCGGGTACGATGCAGCTTGACTCTTTCTGAAATGAACACGGTAAACTGAAAGGGCCTGCGACCAAGTCGTGGTGTGGCAACAGAATTCAGCAGGGAATGCATGCCAGGGCCATGTCCATGCCATGCAGCCTGCCCTTGAGGAAATCGATCCGGGCCAGGGCTCCCAGAAGCAGTGTTCGCCCTTCGTCCTGAGGTGGCAAGAGCCGACAAAATCTGCGACCTTAGGAGGAAATCTGAGAACGTTGCCATGTGAAATGTAAGGCGAACTTAGTGCAGGGATTTCTCAAATCGCAGGTGTTGCCAAGTCTATATAACTGAAGGCAAGCCGAGCATTGGACGTGCTTCCTTTGTTTGTGGGGTAATCATCTTCAGATCCTGCAACACCGACATCTGAAGCCAAGAGTCATCTCAGCTGTTGTCTTCTTGCTCTGCCCTGTGCCCTGCTCGGTCGAGTGGCCCCATCCATTTTGGTCGGATGGTGTCTCTTTCTCATCCCTCTTTCTCATCCCTCTCTTCCTCCTTCTCTCACTCTGCCGCACACTCAGGGGTCAGCCAGCTGCAGCTGCGAATGAGCATGCCGTGGCTGGAAGTGTTCACACATTAACATGCCACTGAACAAACACATGCATGCTAGGCAGAACTTCACAAGTCAGACTCATGAAACCATACTGAAACCACTCTTGTGCCAAGCACTCCAGACGGACGGAGATTCGTGATAGAAAAATGACTCACCCTAATCTTTTCGTTGATCCCTCGCGTAAGTCGGTTCCGCATTGCTTCAGTAAATTGCTAAGACGAATGTGGCTCTGGCAGTTGATGGTCTTCGTAAAGCGAAGCTGCTTTTTGCTTCTTAAAGGCCCTGTCAAACAATCATCCAATGGAGTAGCATCAGTATTAGCCTTCTTGCGCCAAAAAATGAAGGCGCGCATCCTTGACCCGGTAAAACCTGTGCTTGAATCTGACCCGATGCGCTCTGATACACGTAATTACAGGTAGTAACCAACGGGCTCTGCTGTCTCAGCTCTTTGATAGAATTGGGCTTCGCTGTGAAACTGAACCACCAACACTTCAGTGCTCCCTCCAATGAACGACAACTCTTGTTTGTGGTTTGCATCAGCGGTGATTTCGAGATGTCGGATGTGGGCTGATGCCTCGCTGTAGACACTGTAGATGTGATCCAAGACCATCCTGTGTCGTCGCTCAGCATGTTCCTCTACGGCTTCCTGGGCGCGATATGACGCGAAGGTCGTTTACGAACACATTTACCTGGCGGTTCTCCTGCAGCCTCCTGTTGAGCCTCGTCCGAAGTACCCGCACTTCCGTGAACGGTACAATGCCCGTTGCGAACTACCTACGGCTGATAACCTGAAGTTTCCCATGCACACGGCTTGCACACAGTATGCTACCGCTGAGTCAAACCTGGTGTGAACTTTTGGCACGGGGGGTCGGCAGGGCAAAATCTACAGGAAGAGAGCAATGGCGAAGCACGAAAGCAATCGCCCATTAAGCCCAGAGCATCTTTCAAAGTGAAGATCAGTCCAGGTTTGCCAGGCGTTCGCTGTTGCGAGGCTTTCGCTGAAGACCATCACACCCCATGAACTCTCTGAGCACAGACGTCAACCAACGAGCTCATGCGATCGCCCACCCCGGACGGGGTTGATGTAATGCATCCGGCAAAGCGGCGCGCGGTCAACCTCTAGTCTGCATAAACACTGCCTCAACAAATTATAATTCGGGTGATCCAGGTTGCCTGGACCATGTGGTGCCCGCACGCAAAGCAACTCCAAACACACACATCCTCGAACACCTTGTACAGTGAGCGCTCTGAGGCGTGATTGCGACGACGAGGCCGAGTCTAGAGTCGAGTCAAACTGCTACGAGTAGCTACAAGTAGATCCTAACAAAGGAACCACCTGGAAGTTCATGACGGATGTTGTTGCAGTGACACGATTGCAAAAAATCACCGTGAGTTCTGTAAATGCAGAATGTTTTCGGGCCCCCCAGATGCTACCCCGTCGGCTGCGAAATGACACGAGGTTTCAACCCTACATTCTGAGCATCCGTTTCCGGAATCTGCTGGCTCGTACATCCAGCGCATATCCGCTTGGCCGGCTCGAACAAGATCCGCAGGACGGGTCACCAGGACGGAGTGTATCGCTATTGACAAGTGATGTACTGCCTTTTGAGAATTTTCGGCAGGCCCCATACAGCCTCATGACTAACTCATGGAACACACCTCGAATATGGCCAGAGTATGCCAGAATCCTGAAACCACCCTTGTGCATCTGCTAGCCAGAAAGCATACACCAGCTGTGAAATTTTTCTCTGAAACCGGAGGTTGGCATGCCAAGCCAAAAATCGCCGTCCCGGCAAATAAGCTCCCTCGGCAGGTGCACTCCTGCTTTAGGATATAACGGGGAGGCCGAATTCTTGTAAAATCTACTGAGCTCAAACTTGATAAGTCGCGCTCCTGTCATCCGCGTGAGAAACCATGCTCCCGCCACATTGATCTCGTGTGCGTTTTGGATTCATGCTTTTGGCTCGCGAGCCTCAGAGGTGCTCCCGGGTATGTCGGGCTTGAACAGCTATAGGTGCTCTTTCACTCTTTGGGGTCACGTGTTCCGAAAAGGCCAACAAATGGGCCATCAACAGCCGAAGACTTGCTGCCTTACGAGACGCTCAGCTCAGGGCTCCCGTGGTCCAATATCGTTCGTGTGTTGTGTGTACACGCTGCCACGTTACGAATAATCGGACAAGGAGTCGTGCACGATAGCAAACACAGCTGAATCACTTGCATTTTGCAGAGGTGGTCTATCAACAAACCGTGCGTTTTCGCAAATCCCAGCTTTTGCTTTCTTAAGCCCGGACTCTTTTTCAAACCATAATCCAAATTAAACCGCAGTACTGCATTGCGAAATGGGAGGCATGGTCCTCCAGAGTTAAGCGTTCGGCCATGCTTCCGGGAACCAGCAGGCCAGGCATATCAACGAGCTTCCTCAGACGGATGCCGTGTGGCGACCAACACCTCCGGGGTTGTCCAGAATCTTGGCCGCAAGCGTGTTGCCCAGCTGGAACTTCATTGAGATCGGGCGGAGTGTGGTCCCGGGGAGCACGCTGACAACGAAGCCTCTCTGATCCTGTCACTTGCCAACCACTTCAAAGCAGCTTAGTCCAGGATAACTCAAACACAGCCTCAGCAGCTACGCGGCCCACTCCACGACGCTTTCGGAGAGCCAAGCGGTTCAATAGCGATGATTTTCCAGCCTTGGAAAGGTCATTCTGTGCAACAAGACGGAACTCGCCGCACAAACAACTTAAACGTGTACGGCCCACGTTGGCGGCTCCCACGACATAGTGCTCGCCAGGTGTGTTGTTTTGCTCCAGAAGTTGAGACCTCGAATTCCGCACAAAATCATGCGTTGACCAGGTGCCACGAATAAGGAGCTGACACAGCCTTCACACCCTCGCCGGTGTGGCCTCAGTTTGGAGCTTGGTCCGTGCTTGACTTGTGGTCATTCCATGACCACAACACCGAGGCGGATGCAAGAGATTGGGTACACGTCCATGATCTTGATTTTGCTGTGGCCAGCACGCTGGGCTTCCCGAGCGACCTGATTTTGGGGAAGCTTCAGTGGTTGCAGGCGTCACAGCTCAAACTCCTGAAGCTCGGCATGTCTCGCCCGTCTTCTTCTTCTTCAGAAACACAAGCGAAACCACGCAGATCAAAGCAGCTCGCTGTCGAATGGGTATTATGAATTAGCGGCTCGCTACGAAAGGAGTGGAAACCACATTTAGCAGAACACACAGGGCAACCTTGAATATGCTAGGCGGCGTCCTTCTTGTGTACTATCTGTCGCATGCTACAGAAACTTGAGAAGCGCCGGTTGCTATCGTGTTGGTGCTGGCCTCGTGTTGGGGGCTCCTGCGTGATTCTGCTTGGGGCTGAGAACTGCTGCTCTGTGCTGGTGGAGTTCGACTAGCCCTCTTGCTTTGGCGTCGGCTCTAGCCTCTAGCTGCTGCCTCCGCTTCAAATAGGGTCCTCGTCGGTTCATGGCTTGTGGGGGAGGTCTAGCAGTCCAGCGGAGTGTCAACACCGCCTGTGCTGATCTGACTGGCCGGTTGTGTCCCGGGCTTGAGGATGAGGGGGTTCCCGAAAGTGCCATGGCTTCATGGATGTGTTCTTCTTCTGCTGCTGCATCCCCCCGGGTCTACCCGCTGTGTTGTTTGTTTGGCATGGGTTGGTGGCTGCTGGTGGCTTGATCCACCGCTGCCTCTGGATCTGCTGGAGGGTCCCCCATCGCCGTGGCGGGGCCTTCTTGGCCCCTAAGGAAGGTGGCGCTGTGGTGGCGGCTTGAAGAACTGCGTGCCTCGAAAGGTGCTTGACGCTGTGCGTGGTTGGAGCTGGGTTTCTCCCCCCTCCCCCTGGAGCTCCGTTGCCAGCTGAGGATGTAGAAGCCCAGCCTAGGCAGAATGCTGGGCGTGCTTTGCCCCCCCTCGCAGGGCTTGTTCGCTTTTCCACCACTTGATGGTGCACCACTGATAGAATTCTCGTATAGTGGGCATTCACGGCAGGCTACGCGTCCGTGTACTTCCCAAACTGTTTGATTTGGGGGACAAAGGAACTTCAGCGTCCCCTGCTGCCTTCCGCAAGAGCACCAAGCCAAGCGCGCATGTCGTAGTGTTCGGACGTTCCACTCCAGCCATTGTTCTCCTGGGCGGCTTTGCCCCCTTACAGCTCGTCGCAGGAGTTGGAGCTGCACGGAGTTGATCCCCTTGAGCAGCGCCTCGTTCACTGGCCATGCCGAGCATCCCGACATGCCGGTCTCACCAGCATGAGCATGTTGCGCAGCTTTTCGTCGTTCTTTGTTCTTCCCACACATCAGCTTCTGGATAGCGTAGAAGGCTTTGCGGGCTCTTTCGCTCGCCCCCACCAGCAGTACTGAAGAGACTTTTTCAAAGCATATTGGCGCCCCCAGCACCTGCATGATGGTCTTGATGAAGGGTACCGGGTCTGGGAAGTTAGAGATGATCTGCGTCTTCTTAGAGTTCAGGACCAAGCCTTTCCTGAATAGCTTCGTTTCGAGTAGCTTGAGCGCCTGCTCGAGCTGCCCCCCCGCATCCCCTGCTCTGTTGACTCCCCCATTTGTTTCAGCAGTCTCCCCCGCTCTGGTGAGGCGCCGCGTCGCCAGGTGAGCTCTTAGGCTTGGGCCCCAGGTTTTGCCACTGTCCTCGGCCGAGGTCATAGGTTTCCAGGATTCCCGTCCTCCCCTTCTCTCTCTCTCTTTCTCTCTCTCTCTCTCTCTCTCTCTCTCTCTCTCTCTTCCTTCCTTCAGCTTCCATCCAGGTCAGGTCCGCACGCGGACCCGGGCCAAGGCCCCCCCATTCCCCCGTTTTTGGTGGAACAGGGCTTTGGGGTCGAAGGACGGTTTCTTCTAGAAACACTCCTGCTGAGTTCCGGACCACACACTACCATAGTACTTTGGGGCAGCTGCAAAAGGGGACGAGGTCCACATCGAAGCAACACTTGTCCCTCAACCCTTTGCAGAACACAAGACTGTGGCCTCCCCTTTGGGCGAGCACTGACTGGTACTAGAAGTGGAAGTAATTTTGAAGCAACAGCCATAACACGAACAGTGTTGATCACAGGATGTCATCCCCCCTGCTGTAGGCTCCCCCTGGCTGGTGTGGTTGGCGTGGTCAGCTTGCGTCTCGTTGTGCACGGCGTGGGTCCCCCGAAAGAACGCTTGCTGCCAGGAGCGTCTCTTCCCCCACAATCCCCCACATAGGGGATAGCTGCTCGTAGAGTCGCCGCTGCATGGCTAAGGCGACGCTGCTGCCGAATGAATCTGACTCGTGCAGGCTGACCATTCCCCCACTTTCTGCAGTGCTATGACGTCCGCTGGGTGGACAGCTTGAGGACGGCGTGGTTCGTCTGCTTCGGGACGTCTGTCTGCCCATAACCGCAGCTTGGCGCAGTTTTTCCCCCGCGCTTTGCACCTGGCTTTGCTCGATGCCGGGCGGCATGGGCTCGTGGATCTCCCCCGCTCCTCTTTCCAGCAGCCGCCTGACTATAGAGAGGTCTGTTGCAAACCTTTCATTGGTGAGGTCTTCTCCTCGCGCACACGCATGCTGGCAATGCAGCTGCGTGCCTCTCCCAAAGCACTCGGTTCCACGTAGGGCCGTGGAGGGGTTGCCGTTGGCATGGCGAATTCCCCGGTGGCGACCCCCCTCCTGCAACACCTGCAGCGCGATGCTACAGATGCTCGCGATGGTGTCCCCAATCTGCTGTCTGTATCTCTCTTACTATTTCTTGCGCTAGCTGGAGCTGAGCCGTGGCTGCGATCATCACCCCCCTCTGTGCTGCTATGACCCCGCTCTGTGCGGCTGCATGTTCGGGTGGGTCTGTGCTGCTGCCTGCTCTGGCTGTCTTTCCCCCTGGTTGGTTGCCGTCGGTGGTGCGGCGGTTGTGGTGTGGGCTGCGGCGACGGCGGCGCATAAGCCCCATATTTTCGGTGGTCGTGCCTTCCAGCTCTGGCTCCTCTGTTGGGGCGTCCGCGCTGCAAAGGTTGAGTGGGCTCGTGGTGGTGCTGCTGGTGGTACTTGTGGGCTCCACGGTCGTTGCCAGAGCTCTGTCCTGTCTGTGTCCTGCTGTGTTCCCCCGATGTTTCGGGTGTCTCTGGCGACTGTGTAGAAGTGTGGTTGTGCCTGCTGTTGTTCAGCCTCTGGGTTCCTCACCCTCAGTGGTCTGTCTGTCTCTTGCTTGCACTCAGCCAAGGAGAGGCGCACCCCCCCCCGCCCCGCGCGCGTGCGCGCACTGGTCTCAAGTTTGCGTGTGAGAACTCCCCGTGCTGAAACGTCTCTGTCTCTTGCTTGCTTGCGAAGGGGTGTGGGCCCTCGTAAGGACCCTGGCCCAAAGGCCTACCCCCACAACGCTCCGCGAGCTCCCGGGTCTTCAAGGCCCCCTTCAACATGAGAGAAAGGCTCGTTCCCCCACCTGTGCCTAGACACCCGTCCCCCAAAACCCCCGTGCCAAGACCATTACCATGATAAACCAGTAGGCACCAGGTGGGTCATCCGAGTTCTCTCCAGCAGCAGCTACGCGAAAGTGGCCTGTTGCCGGGAATTTGTCGAAACCAAACAAAAAATGTAACCATCAAGTGCTCAGCCCTGGCTACCATCATTCGTCCCTTCTTTCGCTGCCCCGGTGAGCTCCACTCCCCTGGGCAACTGCCGTGGGTTCTGTGCCCTCACGCAGCTTGCTTGGTTACTTAACCCCACCTCACCTGCCTCCCCACCTGATCCCGAAGACCTTCCCACCCCCCCCCCTTAAGCCTGGCAACTTTGCAACAGGGCACTTTCAACGACACTCGACTGATCGGCACAACACGACGGCCAGTTCAAAGCTACCTGAAGGCATGGCTGTGCTCTGCTACCCATGCATCATTTGGAATGGATAGGCTCGGTCTGTACAGGACTGTGTAACCCTGTTGTTCAGGAGTTAGCTGTTGTGGAGGAGTCCCCTTTGGCAAACAGACCAGGCCATATCACAAGCTGGTCCCCCGTTCCACACGACGTTTTGAATACGCATCCAAAGCTCCCGACTGAGTTGGAAGGGCAACCAACAAGATAGCATAGATGACGGCAAAAGGCCAGATAGAGGCGTCTTGTCTTTGTCGGGTGCCTCTTCAAACTGGTTCCCTGCCTGCCTGAGCCTCACCCCCACTTTGTCACCCATGCCTCAAACCGAACGGAAGCCTTGTGCTCTCTGTCTCTCTCTCTCTCTTGCTTGCTTGCTTGCTAAAGGGTCTAGGGGCTGCACGCAACCCCTTGGCCCGAAGGCCTACCCCCTCGCGGCGCGCAACGTCCAAGGTCAGTTCGGCCCCTTCCGGGGAGTGTGAGGAGGAACACGGATGCCTTTTCCCTGCTTCTGTCCGAACCAGACCGTTAGACCCCCAACACACAACCATTCAGCAGGGCTTCTGGGCACTCCGTCGTTCTCACCCCCAAGGGAATTTTTGGCTTGTTGCCACATGCACTGGTTGTCGGCGGGCTCCACCCCCCCGCGAGCGCACAACTGCAGTTTCCCTGCGTTCTGTACAAACCCAGCTGGCCTGCCTCCCCACCTGATCCCGAACAGAACCTTGCACAACTGCACTGCCTGTACCTGCCCACGCCTCCCTGAACCTGGCTATCCCCTCGTTCCCCCTTCCACACCGTAACATGCAGAACTCTCTTGCTTGCTTGCTTGCCGGGCCGAGGCCCCCCCTCCCCCTTACGCGTTGGTGGGAGAGAGGCATTGGGGTCGGGTGCTCGGGGCTGTTCCCCTCGGTTGGAAATCCCCCGACCCTGAACTTTAGCCCGCGTCTCATCCCCGCGCCCACTATGGCTAGATCCTTGGTACCTTCGCCAGACGCCTCCCCCTAGCATTGCCCAGCGGTTGGTGGCAGGTCCCCCTTTCTGCAGTACCAACAACAACTGAGGACAGGGCATATCGAGACCATACGACACAGCAAGTACGTGAAGGTTTGTGGGGTCGCCACGGTTATTCGTTGAGGGTTCGCCAGCTTGTAGTGTACAAATATTGCCCAGTAGAGTCAGTAGCTGGTCCCCCCCTCGCGCAGTCCTACGAAAAAGGCCGGTTGAATTATTTCTTCCAGTATGGAAACAGTCGGTGAAAGCGCGTTGAATTACTGTGGCAGTTGGTAACAAAAGTCGCAGGTTGGCGACTGGTGCAATTGAATTGGGCTTTCGGTCGCTATTTCGAGCTGTTGCAGAAAAGGGAAAACCACTCGGCGGCTACTTCGAGCTACCTGCAAGTATGTATGCATCCCCCCGGCAAGGGTTCAAAGGAGAAACTCGGGAACCAGGGAAGGCACAGGGCAGCAGCAACAGACGAAAAAAGGATGCCCTCCCCCAGTCCCCGTCCCCCGCACATTGTACTTTTTACAAGTCGCGCTCACGGCTCTCACGGTTGTTGCGCATGTGTTCCTGCACATGCTGTACCTGCCACCACATGCTCGGCTGTAGTCGTACTCGCTGTGGGCTGCTGCTCGGGCTGCGCTGCGGCTTTCTCCCCCTTGGGCTGCGGCTTGGAGTGCGCGGGCGCTCCTCCCCCAACCTTCTTCTCCGTGGGCTTCTGCTTGGCGTGCGCGGTCTCTCTTTTCCCAAGCTGCTTCCCCCTCCGTACGAGTCGTCTTCGGCGGCTGCTGTGCCAGCGTCTTCCCCTCCTTGTTCGCTCCGGTCTTCGGCTGGTGCTGTCTCACGGCTTTCTCTCTCTGCTCTCTCTCTCTCTCTCTCTCTCTCTCTCTCTCTCTCTCTCTCTCTCTCTCTCTCTCTCTCTCTCTCTCTCTCTCTCTCTCTCTCTGTCTGCTTTCAGGCGTCAACCCATCCCCGCAATCGAGGGCGGCTGGTGTCCGGCGGAAGCAAGTCCTGAAACTGCAAAATCATTGAAATGCCACCATGAGCTAGTTGCACAAACGCACAGTGACTCGATGCTGAATCCCACACCTTTTGCATAGCATAGAAGATGTGACCGAGCTATACTATACCGAGCTGGCCAGCTCAAGCTTTTGTGGCACAAACAGTCGGAAGTCTTTGCAAGGTGATGTGTTAAAGGACGTCCAGGTCCAAAACCGCGGCTGTGTGGGCCTACGAGTAGCACGACAGAGCCCGTGGAACATTGGCATGTGACAAGATGCGGCAGAAACAAGCAAGCCAGGCATGCGGAATATCCCGGCCGCTACAAGCAAGTCCCGCCCGTTTGTAAGGATCCCACTAGTTTGTTGGCAATAATACGCACACGCACCTTTGGCTTGCCTGCAAGCCTCAGCAATCGATGGCAGTCTATGTTGGCCATGAAACCGAAGACAAGAACGGTTTTGCTGCGCAAGTTGCTCGCGTGCAATGTATTCCAACCTCAGTAACGACTGTCAGAAAGTTACAAGGAGTGGCGCGCATCAGAATGAAACAAAGAAGAAAACAAAGCTCACTGAGCGAACACTGTTCAGCCCAAACTGCAGTGAGGGCACAAAGTGAAAGATGGGCCGAAATCAAAGACGTCGACCACGGCGAAAATGCAGGCCTCTGTCACCTGACACAAAGCAAAACCCAACAACACGGCAGGCTGCCAAACACCTCTCCGAAGTATCCGCTTGGAGAGTGGGCAGTGACAGATCTGGATATTCCAGCATTTGGGATTTTGCACTCGACGCAGTCTCCAGAATTACGGCACAGGGCATTGTCAGCTGTTAAGCTATCCCTTCCCCTCCTGATCGACATGGAGAACCCCGAACTTCTTGTTGAGCAGCATTGTTCGCTAGTGGGCGATCGCTTTGGCAATAAATGTAATACCCGGATTACAAATGCTTCATAAACCATCGTCTACGTATCGCAGCACCCAGGAAAGATCAGCATGGGGAATGTGAAGTCACTGGAAGTTCAGATGCCCCTTGCATCTTGGCTCGCTGCTGGCGCCAATGTCCGGCTTAGCAGCTTCTCCTTGGGAGCGGAGAACTGCACAGCACTGACATGCAGTCACTGCATCAGGCATGCAAGAGCGGCTGCATTCTTGCAGCTGATTCTCAAAAGCTTCTGCTGTCAGCTCATCGGATGCACGTGAAGGGCTGCCTCAGGACAGTTGCGGAGTCGCTGACTTGGGTGAGGCCGGTGCATGCCGGTCAGATTGGCTGCCTGCACCTCCATAAGCCGGTCTGAGGACGTCGTCGCAGTCATTGTACTGCCACAGGCCTGACGGAAGACGACGGATGCTTCGGACCCGAGGCGACGAACTGGTCCCCCGGCCCCAGCACCGCATGCATACGTTCTGTCCTGAAAAGCAGGGAAGGAGAATGCCCCCTCAGTCATCGTCAAGCTGTAGTGGCTTTGCTGAGTGTGCACACGCGACTCCCTTTCAAGCTTCTTCGCCGAAAGCCTGCTGACGGCACTCCAAAGTGAATTAAAATCATGATTGGAAATTGCGGTAATGACAGGGCGCACCCATCTGTGAGGGGAGCGACTAACTGCGTCATGGCCTCAGTCTGCTACTGGCAGCTGCGCATGAATCTGCGAAGCTACAGCCTAGAAGCTTGAAGTGCACAATCCGATGCTTCACTGAGGTCACAGCTCCTCGCACGACACCTCGATCAAAAACCCAACCTGGAACCACAAGCTCCAGAGCCCTATGACGATTATCGACGCAAGCTGCGCCTCTTCCGTCTTCTAAGCGAAAGTAGGTGCGGGAGTCAGCCTAGTAGCCGTCGCACACGGCATGGCAATCGATTCGAACGAAACATCGATGCAGCGCGACGATGCGATCTTCTTACCATGTACCGGGTGGTTCTAAGACATGATGGGGGTGCGGCACTTCTCAGGATTTCCGACACTTGGAACTGCTCGCCAAACCTGGACAGGCCAAGATCAGGCGAACAGACCCACCCGTGTCGCAGAGGCTGGGTTGTCGTTAAGCAATCCGGCTGAAGCCAGCGGAACCACATTTATGGGAGTTTCTGCTGGCCCTGTTGCAGAACCTTCGAGGTGTCTCTCTACTTACACACGCCAGACACGGAGAAGCCTGGGTGGACGAGATAGAAGCCTTATAAATCCAACCTTATTACACGTGCAAGCAAGACGACCAAGGTAAGAGTCCCATCTCGCCACAGGTACTCCTGAACCTGCGCGAGATAAGACAGGACGATGTCCGACTCACCCTGGCGGCCCCAATCCCCGCGCCGAAGGAGGCTACAACGCGGAATCGGATGGCGAGAGCACAGCAGCGGGCTAGCTTGACACTCCCAGTCACTGAACACTTGCGGCGTCTGATACCAAGCAGCACTGACAGTTGCCCTTAAGGCAACAGTCCTACAGCCCGGATTCTTCGTCAACCGAGGCATATGCTCAAAGTCACAACGGTGAAAAGCCCGAATATCGACATTTCCAGCATCCGAAGCCCCATGCCGACCAGACAACCGAAAACGACTGCAACAGTACTCACGCCAACCGGAGCGAAGACTGTGAAGCTGCCTCTGCAACAGAGGGAAAGATGCAGCACCTGCCTTTCCCAAGACCAGGGAGCAACTTCATTCCAACCTCGCTCTTTCAACCACTTACGAAATGTCCGCAAAACATCATTCCAAACACAGCTGCCTTTGCGACGAGGCTGCGGAAGCACACGATACAAGCTACAAGCCGTACCACACAACGCTAAGACCGAACATGCTGGCATACCCGCCTACAACCTCGGTGTTCAAGCGCAAGGAGCCAAGAACCCGAAGACTCTCAAGAGCAACGGCCACCCAACCAGTTTCTTTTTATCCTGATTGGAGCGAGGTCCGAGGTTTACCTCGACTCACAACCCCGAGAAAGAGAACATTGGAGCACAGAATGTCCTCATCATCAAAGTAAGGACGAAGAGCCTTCTGTTGAGCGGCTCTTGCTCCTAGGCTTTGTCCCCCGACTCAACCAAGCCCGCACGACGCGACCGAACAGTCCAAGCATCAAACTTAGCACAAGAACCCCGGCTCACCAGCAGCAAATTTACGATCGTCCATAGAAAATGGACATGACACCACTGCCGGTAACGTTGCCAGGTAAAGTCCTTCGCGCGATCAACCAAATGGCACAAATCGCAGGACCAAGCGGACTCCCCTTGCGGCAACGCCAAAGGAGCACGCAGGCAGCGGGTGACCATCGACATGCTCCTTCCACGATTGCCATCTCACATGACGACTCCAAAAGCAACCACACAAAATATTCATGCGACTGTCGAAACCGAGCTTGTCAAGCAGAGCAGTGGAAACCTCAGGTCTAAGCAGATCGAAACATTTCGTATGATCCAAGGAGGCGCAGTAGCCGCACTCTGCGAAAGACTGCAAGACCACAACGGCCGCCACCTGAGGGTCCCCTCCTATGCCATAAACGAGCGACGAGTGCGAAACGGAGCGAACCCAGTCTTCCATCTGAGGCTGTTTCAACCAGGCCCTGGAAAAGCAACGCCAAAAAGCGCTTAACACCGTGCAAGCACACTGTGGACCCGACGCCAAGCTCTCTCCAGTGCGTGCTGCATTCACATCAGGTTCCTGGCGCAGGCATGCAGTTATCCACTTTGATAGACGGCTGATCCACCGTTTACATCTAACATTAGGTCCTGGCGAATATCCAGGAAAACGTTTGCAATCACCTTGAAATGCCTCTGTGCCGACTTCGTGGGCAGCTCCTTAGCAACCGAAACAGAATACGGAACGTAGGCTTAAGCTGGAACATTCTCATCTACGACTTCATCTACGCATCACATCACATCAGGGCTTTGCTCAAACATGCTGTTCTGGAAGACTCGCAATCTGGACGAACCGCAGCCCTTGATTGCTACAGAATGCCTGCATCATCACATCTTTACGAGTACCTGCTAAGCAGGAAGCAAAAGATGAAGCCGAAGGCGACAGCACGTGAAATGCAAGAATGATCGCGAGTTCAGTGTGATTGACTTTGCCCCACACGGCCCAAAGCCGCCACGAAGCGGAAAGGGTCCCGTCAATGCGAACCCTACCATGCTCTGCTGATCGTGGGCAGGCCAGCTGTTGTTTGCTTCGCATATCTTCGCATCTACATTTTGCTCGTGGATGTTGCACATCCTGCTTTGCCATCTTTGTCGTAGGTTGTCAAAGCCATCGTGGCTGAACGTCCTGAAGCCTTACCGAAAAGTCTACAAAGCGCGATGGCGATCGGCATGCGGTGCTGCACATTGGACATGCACCTTCGCAGACTTGCAAGAGAAGCAGGGAGGGGCGGAATCGGAACACGAGAGAGCCACAGGTCTCCACCAAAACCGTAAAGAAAGAACTGCGAACATTTCTGTTGCCAGTTCTTGCGCTTGTCTTATGTGGAAGCTTGGCCTGTGCATCCGATGATGTAAGTGCTGGCCTGCGTCTTCAGAATTCAAAAGGTCATGCTCATGAAGGTAGTGCCTACGTGCCTGTGTGACTACCGACCCCGCCAAGTACTCATCTCGAGGAGCTCTCCCAAACCCAAGCATGCAGAGTGGTCATTGTGATATTCGCCACCTCATTCTACGAGAGAAAAGCTGTGCATACTAAAGGCCAAACACATCCAGCATTCATGGCGGATGCATGAAGCCAAGTCTCGAAGGAACTTCGCTCCGTTGCACCATCATCCTGGCACGGCCGTATCGGTTGCAAGCGTGGACATGCCGTGCTTAGAGATGACGAGAACACTCGGGTTTCCTTCATCAGCAGCGCCACTTCGTCCTCTGCATTGAGAGGCTTTGCAGTCTCATCTTCGTCCTCCTTGGCTTTCGTGGGTCGAGTTTGCTAGCCCCTGGCACGATATCGGGCAGGGTGGCCTCTCGCACCATCTTGTCCGGTGGTATATATCCCAAGGCCTCAGCAACGCATACATATTTGCTTGCTTAGGCCGACTGCAAGCACTTCGGATGACTCTCCTTCAAGGCGCTGCTGATGTACTTGCTGGTGCGAGGAGTGAGCAATGTCCGTGCCCCTCTTTGCTCTTACTGGTGGGGGTTTATTCGGCCTTGCTGTTCGGGTGTTGGCGTAAATGGGCAGCTCGCTAAACGCATCCTGCCGAGCGCAACTACTGCGCTACCAGGACCTGCGTGGTGCCGGGCCTGACTGTGCAAAATGCTTGGGCTTCTTGTCGCGGCTCTCTCTCAGCAATGTCGCACAAGCCGTGATTCAGTGCGTCGTTCTCAGTCACAGTCTGGCGCGGTGCACAGGACAAGATTTGCAGGTGATTTCGCTTAAGGATTTTGGTCCGCATTCACAGTTTGAGTGGTATTGACTCAGTCTGGCAGTTGCCTCCTCTTTCGCTTCAGAAAAACGCAAGCACGGAGGGAAAACAGTCCTTTCCACAAGCTTCTACATATCGTAACGACAAACGGCAGCGGCTGCCACATGCACAAGTGAAAACAAAACATCTCAGTTCCGGTCCGTGGGGTCGGCGCACTGAAGTTTCACTCCACATCCCGGACAGTGGCCGGCATCCAACTGGAGCACGAAGCCTTCCTGTCGGTCCCTGAGCTTTTGAGATCGCAGCTGACCGAAGGGCCGGAGCCTGACAAGCTTCGTTGTGTGACGTGTTAGGAAGGCTTACCGTGACTCTGCGAGATTGGCTTGGAGCTGTTTTCGTCGTCAAGCATACATCTTCGTCTCTCAGGCTATCATGCAGCTTGCTGCCGCTCGACCTCAGCTGGTTGATCTGCATACAGTAGCTTGCCTGATCAACGAACACATGTAACACAAAGCCACCGGGGCGCCGGCACCTAGGGCGGTATGCTTGCCGCTATAGCAGGTGCAGGAGCACACGGCTCTGGCGCCGTCAGTCGGACTCAAGACTCACTATAGCCCCCTCCCCGTGCAAGTCGAAGAGCTTCTTGAGGCTGGCTGGTGTGATGCCCCCGCTGTCCTTGCTGCAAGCAACATGATGAACATCAGCCAATTCCGATCTCCCCCCGCTGTCTCGCCCAAGTGGCTGCAAGATTCCCGCAAGGACGATGTGAAAGAGCCTCTGCTTGATCGTGGACGATGCTGTGCAGCCCAGGTGCAGCAGACGAGCCGGCGAGCTCGGCAAGAACTCTACAAAGGCCGTCTTTGGACAAAGAGCATCCCGTAAGGTCCAAGCATAACTGACAATCTCGCACGCATTTCCGACTGGTCACTGTAGCGACAAGGTCCGTGTTGGTGCACGTGACATTGCTGCAGTGGCAGTTCAAACTCAAGCGAGTCAGTTGGTGTGCTTTCGTCAGAAGTTGTGCAAGGGCAGTGTCGTCAACTCTTGTCTCGCTCAAATCCAGCTTCAGAGTACGCAAGTGTGGAGTCCAACTGGTTAGGCCGCATGCGCCAACATCTTCTACCTCGCAACCTGCGATGCCGAGAGACAGGTGCGACAAAGACTCCGGCAGCTTTTCCATCAAGGCCAATACGCCGTCCTCGCACACCTGGCAGCCCGACACGTCCACGCCCAAAGTTTGAAGTCGAGGCAGTCTGCCAGCAATGGAGGCCACAGCGGCATTGGTCACGCCCGTACCAATCAGAGTCAAGTCAAGCTGCTCCAGGGAAATGGGTAAACAGCAGCCAAGGGAATGTAGCATGTCTTCACCAACACCACTCCCGGAGAAGTTGAGCACCAAGCGTTTCAGGGTTGGGCAAAATGCTGTGGGAATGCGAAAATCACCAATGGGACAACCAAAAGTGCCTATCTTCAAGTAGTGCAGGCTCGGCATCCCCGCACACTTCGTCAGCAGTGCAATTGCAGCCCGAGCTGTTAAGTGGCATCCTCCGAAGTCCAAGACCAGACTGCGTAACGAGGGCAGTAGATGGTGTGCTGCATGTTCAGCTCCTGCATCTCGAATACCACAGCCGCCGAAGTCCAAGATAAGATCTTCCAGGCAAGCCAGTTGGGCAATGCCAGCTGAAAGTGTCACAGCCCCACCCTGATGCAATGGGCAATCACGAAGGTCCAGTGTCAATCGGGCTAACGTATGCGGAAGTGCATCAGCCAGTGCGGCACAGCCATCCTTTTGAAGTTTGCACTGTCCGAAAAATAATCGAAGCTCAAGTAACGTAGAGGGCAACGCAGTGGCGATTGCCATGGCTCCACGGTCAGTCAAGCCAGACCCTGCGAGATCCAAGCAAAGCTTCCTGGCTGAGGTCGGCAGACGCTCTAGCAGCTTTGCCACAGCACGGGGTCCAAGCCGCTTCTGTCTCGAGCTATCGCGCTGTAGCTGCCGCAGTTGCACTCCTTAGCTTGGTCCGTCTGCCAGGTGCCGGTGTTTGCGACTTCTTGCCCGCAGCCGCTTCATGCAGCCAAGTTCCTGATGCAAACAATGGACCCCAAACATCGAGACGGCCCCACCGGATTCGCCAGGTTCTGAATGATAAGGAATCGTGAAACATGTTGTGGCATGCCTACTGCAGTACTTGCAGTTGCCGCATCTGCGGAATACGAACCTTTTTGCCTTTGAATGCATGTCCTTCACCGCGAAGCTGTACTACTCGCCAGCACCAAAACAACTCCAAACGCATAGACACACTAGACTGGACACTGCGATGATGCCACTTTCCTGCTGACTCTGGTCAGAAGCGAAACGCACTCGATGTGCAAGTCAGTTGCGCTCGGGCATTATTCAAGTCTCCGTCTGCCGAGAGAAACAAATCCATGTGAAGGATGGCCGTGGAATGCTCCGGACAGAAATTGTCTGCCCGAAGCCGCAGTGAGGGGGGAGGATCCAGACGGATCAGCAGCCCCTGCTTTTTGTTGCGCGCGGGATGTGGACATGCTGCTCATTTGCATTATCGCATCAACCCTGCTTACTCGGTGGGCGCAGATAAATGTATATCCAAGACTTGAGTGAGGCGGACCTAACAAAAGGGATGACACACATCATAGAACTTTTCGGGTACAACGAGAATCAAAAACACACTGCAAGAGACAATGCGGAAAGATTCAACCAAATAGGCGAATCATGGCAAACCTAATCTGAAGTGTTCACTGCGCAGCGTGGGAGTTTTGCCGGGAAGCCGTGATGGAGCAGTCCTCGCGAACCTGCAAGAAGCATTGCTCCGGGATGCAGGCCCACATGATTGCGGTGTAACAAACATTGGGGAAGGGGTCTGGCCGTTGCAGCCTGACAGCACCGTGTGAGTTCTAGAATGTGATGATTGAGCTTCCAAGGAAGAGGTTCGCTTCGCTTGCGTCTTGCAGATGCTTTCCTTCACGCTGGCTGGCAAAAACACTTGACTTTTGACATATTGGCAGGTCACACGTCAGTGAAATGCTCCAACGCAGTTGAAGCTGGCCTGAGGAGTCGTGTGCTGCGAACGCAAACAGCTGTTCCTTTTTATAGTTCTATCTATCATCTCCTGTCCGTTTGCTGCCCCCGGCACCTCTAAAAAATGGCTGGAAAACCATTGTCACCATGCTGCCCTCAAACATGACCTTGACCGGAAAGTGTTCGTCTCATAATGTTTCAGAGCGAGCACTGGATACCGTCCAGCTGCTTGGAGCGAAGTTTGAAGTGTTTCCTGCCTCGGAATGCCAATCTGTTGACGTCAAAACGGTAGTTAGTAGGTCATAGTTATTACTCTCCGACTCAGAAATAGGACAAGCAGACGAAAAAGCAAACTCGCTGCAAGTGCTCGTCACCTGCAAAGATAGCACAAGCCACGTCGCGGTTGATCTTTATGCTCTACCGTATATAGCCAGAACCTGCTGGTGGCGCTGTTGCTTACACTTGTCCGGCACGACGTGCGAACTCACAGTCTTTGACCGTTTGACCAGGGTCGAAACTTCGAAACCAGCCTTTACTCGTGCTTGACTTACCGGTCCTGGAAACTCCTCTCCATCGCAGCAAGTCCAAGCCAGCAAACGGTGCGATACCTGAAATTCGCGAATCATCTTCTGAAAATGGATGTAATGTCAAGCACGACATTGAAGACATCAAGTGAGGTCCGCGCAAGCGTCGGATCCGTGAATGGAATCGAAAAGTGCGGCTCGGGCTGGATTCATTCGAAGGCCACACCGGGACACAGGCCCCAACGCTGCGACTCTTGAGCCCACGTTCTCTGAGCTGCGCAAGGCGCAACAGAAACAGGCGCGACAGGCTGTTAAAGCAACTTTCTAGTCAACCGGCCTTCCTTCTTCCATTGGGACATCTTCATCGAACATTGAATCGTATCCTTGGCGGACAGTTGAACTCTTGGAATGCTTACAGACGCTGGTAGAAAAGAATTCGGTGCATTTCACCCCCCCCCCCCTGCACGATGCCACTAGGCTTTCTTCATGTTCCGGCACTCACGGTCAGCCAGATTCAATCGCCTATGATGTGTAGGAAGGTCCCTCTTCACCTCACTCACTTCACGATCGACCGGTGACCGTGTCACAGCCTGTGAGCCAAAACCCCTCAATCGAGAGGGCTCTACAGTACCGAAAAGGGCACAGTAAGCGCCAAAGCTTACTTTGTCTTTTCGGTTGCCTGGTGGGTCCTATTGTGGGACGGTGCTGGGGTTTGGCGGTAAGGTCGTGGACAGGTCCAATGTAGCGGATCCGGTTTTGCTTTGGCATGGCGCACACACATGATACGGCTACTCGGAGCGAACTCGCTCTCTGAAACCGGAGTGCGGAAACGTCGCCACCCTAGCCACAAGCTGAGGAGTGTTCCCATGTAATGTACCCGCGCGATGCCTCCTCCAACTTTGATAACCTGCAAAGGCGAATCAACGCAGGTCGAGACTTGGAACCGTGCTGATGCGTCTTCGTGCAAACTCTCTAGACATTGGCAAGTACAGTTCGAAGGAGTGCCTGAGCTTCACCTCGGTGATGCGTAGCATCTGTAAACAACTTGTCATTGATATGAGCCCCTTGCGCCACCGCTTGGAAGGAGCAAGAACTTCGACACGTTTCCCCTTCTTGCAGAAGTCTTCGGGCTGCAAAGCAGGCACACAAACATCGTTGGAAAGCATGGATGGCGAAATCAGCCAGCAAAGTTTGCCGCACCTTGTCGTCAGGCTGGGACTGGTCCTCCCATGCACATTCTCCGGCAGTTGCTGCTGGAGGCTCCAGCTGGACCCGACCCATGTGCAGGTGCTTTTTGGATGGATGCTTAAAAATCTTAAAAGCAGTGAAGTCCCAAAGCTGAAACCTCGTGCCAACATCATAAAGCCCAGGCATGCCCAGGCTTTCTCAACCGTATTCTTTTGACAATCTTGAGCATCCAGACGTGGCCGTGCGCCTTGATGGTTACATCAGCAACGGCCTTGAGCTGTAGGTAGCCTCAACAGACTTACACGATTTGCTTGCCAGGCATTCCGTTCCTTCAGAGCCGTGCCTCGCAGGTCCTTCTGCCTGCGCCACCTAAGAAAAGCCCACAGCAATGCGTCCAATGTCTCTAAAACATGAAATTATCATAGCGGGCATGAACTCCTAATCATCGTCATCCGGCCAACTCGATACCGAGAGGTGGGGGCATGCGCTGGCCACATTCTGCTGGCTGACAGTCTGATTCTGCTCCAGGTGGGCAATTCAAGGGCAGTCCTGACTCTTTGCAGCCGTCTTCGTCTTCCAGCCTACATTACATATTTCTGTTGTATGCTGTGCGGTAAGCGGCACTTCCTCGAAGTGCATCGTGCGTCTGCTCCTTGCGGTGCCTGTACACTTCCTTAACTCCCCTCCCTCAGAAACAGTCAGCCCTTCCCAATGTGGAAGCACCCAAGCTGGTAGTCGCAGCCAGCTTTACCGACATCTTAGCCTAAGCCCAAGCATGGGTGCCATCTCCGTCGCATCTAAGGTCGTAGTTGCGAAACGTCGGAAGTTTCGGTGTACGTCGGAAGTTTCGGTGTGGCCTATATAGCTCTTCGGCAGGGTGGACAATGTTTAGATCAGATAGGCGGAACATTGCAGAAACAAGCCGGTGCCGACCAAGCAAGTTACAAGAAGCGAGATCTCGGAAACGAAGCCTGCTCGCAGAAACCCATTGACGACAGACGAGGTTTCCGTCTTCCTTATGCTGATACTCGTCTTACTGCTACAGCCTGCCACAGCTGCTTCAGTTGCAACAGCAACAACGCATGCCAACTACGCCGACATGAGCATGGCCAAAACACGTCTTCGGTGAGTCGTAGCTGAGCGAGAAGACGACAAGGTCAGATGATCTTGTAAATGCATGGCAGCCAGCTATCCGCTGCATCTGACGTCAGTCGATGAATGACGTTCACAGTAGTTAAAGGCTTTGAGCTATAACGTGCGACATTCACCTCAATCTCGCAGAACATCGAACTTGCAGATGCCTGTGCGGCTCAGCCTAGGGCATGTGGTTCTGATCCCACCGAGAACGCTATGAGTCTTACAACGTGAAAGCGCCCAGCCCGGCTGGCTACCGGGCCTTCTACTACTTGAGTACACTGGACTTCAACTCTGCGGAGTCAGGTGAAGTCCAAACCAAGACTTCATTTTTGTTCTGGATCAGAGGAATCCACAACTTCAAAATGAATACAACATGGAACAGCACGGACGAACGATTGGCTCTCGCCTTCGTCGCGTCAAAACCAATGCCGTCGCTGGAATCACCTCAAGTGCTCCAGCCATCGCACACAAGGCAGTGGTTCCAAGATGCTGTCGTGGCTGGAGGCGCCTGCAGTGCTCCAGTAAGCTTGACGGCTTTCCTGGCACCCAGCTCGTCTCAGATGACTGACCGCACCCCAATGTGGAGTGAAAGGCCAATGGGTTGAGGAGGTATGGCCTGCAGCCTGTGCAGCTGCTACTGCTTGTAGGTGGGGCAACTCTGCCACCTACCTGCCTGGCAGCTCAATGCGGCTTGCAACTGTGTGTTCTGAGTTCCATGCACAACAAGGGATGAAGACCGTGAAACTGAGGCAGCTACACAGCCCCTTGCCATGGCGGCACGTCTGCCTGCCGCAAGAAGACCTTAGTTGACGCTTGCAAAACATGTGCAGCGCCAGTGCAGGACCGACCAGCCACCCCATCACCAAGAATCTAGCTGTCTTCAGCGTGCTGGCTAGCTCCATTGCTGTTCAGCTGCTGAAAGCTTATAACGATCTGCGGGGCAGCCTTCATTACGAAGCTTCGGCTCGTCTACATGATGATATAGGGTGATGGAGGGATGCTGGGCCCCAATTTGTCGCAAAACGATAGCTACTGTGCGCATACTTGCAACCATCCGATCTTTGCACATGTACTGCGTGGATCTGTGTGGGCAGAGGATCTCCTCGTGTTGAAGGGCTTGACAAAGGTTCGGAAACTCGCTCAGGGATCATAGTCATCTTCTTTTTGTTGGTTCACCTCGCCCTCGTCGCGAGAGCTACGACGCTTTTCGTCCAGCTGTTGCTGCAGGCGGGAGAACCTTCACGAACTTCACGAGCTCCAGGACCACTTAGTCTTGACCTCGTGTCACCCATGTCCCATGTCAAGTCCGGACCCAGCGGAAGCATGCGAAGCAAGCGTACCACATCTCTCAGGGCAGCGGCTGGCATGCGCTCAGAGACTTGCGAATCGCGAAGTCGAAGCTCTTTGATCGATGACCTGCCGCGCTCTCCATCAGCTTAGTCGATGAATGCAATGAAAACATGGCTTAGAGAAAATACCGGTAAGGGGCGGGCAGTTGAAGTGACCTTGCAAGTTTCAGACCTTCCTCGTCGCCAAACCCGTTAGCTGACCTGGGCCGAAGTTCGGCTTGAATCATAGCATCCCCTGTGTACGGACTCGTGTCTAGGTGTCTTGCAGGTCCAAGCTTGTGAGCGCCAGTCCGGGTGTCTCAAGCATTTCGCAAACCGACGTCAGGTCCTGTGCGTCTGTGCGTGCTGATGATTGCTGCATCTGGAAGCCAGCAATCCGGAGGTCCGACTGCCTTCAGTTCGCAGTGAGCCAGGGAGAGCTCCTTGACGCCTGTCTTCGACCTCTCCATCAAGTGGACTACGTTGCTGTCTCAGATCAGTAAAAACCTCATTACCAAACGTCGACGCGTCCGACGCATCGTTGTCGAGCGAAAACCTCCCGCCTCAAAAAAACACCAAAAGGCGACATGTAGGATCGCGCAAATGCCCATGAGATTCGAGCATCCCCAACAACCCGATTTAACGCGCATAGCAAACACCGAGGATTCCTGAAAACGACATCATGACGAACCACCATTCTGCCACACCCAAAAACGTTTCTCCAAGTATTAGCACTACTTTCACGTCCAAAGCCAGAAATCTTGGCCGCGCCTCAGGAAAGTTTCTGCACTTGTGCCAACTCCGAGAATCGTACAACGACGAAAGTGCCTCGGACCTCGATTTTTACGATGGTTCCTGATCGAAACCAAAGAGCAGTAGCAACGGCACCACAATGCCAGTCACCTCACCTCCACGACGCGTCGTTTTATACGAGGGATCGTCAGAAAAAAAACGCATAATCCATTGAAGCACGAGGTGCAGGCCACTTCTTTTGGGCCTCAAAATGCCTCAAACCTTCCTGCCACCGATGTTTTTGTCCGCGTTCAAATTTCACCGATCGGCCCGCCCCGCGCTTAATGATTATAGCTTTATATACGACGTAAGCAGAACACTCTTCATTCATATACAATTAAATAACTACGGATTAATTAACCAATCAGTTTATTGCTTATTAAGTTTATACATATATATATATATATATATTTTTAGACATATACATATAAAACATGCATGAATGTAGTCTAACCGACGAGAACCTCCGATGAAGAATCCTTAGCCGATGCTTTCGTGAAGAATACTGATGATATACTAAAAATACTCATTGCGCTAATAATGATAATGCCATTGCCAATAACACCAGTAAAACTAACACTCTCTCTCTCTCGCAGACTCAGGGGTCTGTCAGGACTAACACTAACAACTAATACTAATACTCGTACTCATGACCATATCAATACTAATACGACCACTAATGCCAATACCCACTAATACGAATAAAGACTGATTACTACTACTACTACTACTACTACTTCTTCTTCTAAAACTACTACTACTACTACTACTACTATTATTAATACTACTACTACTACTACTACTACTACTACTACTACTACTACTACTACTACTACTACTACTACTACTACTTCTACGACGACTACTACTACTACTACGACCACTACTACTACCACTCACTACCAGTACCACTACCACCACTACCACCACTACCACCACTACCACCACTACCACCACTACCACCACTACCACCACTACCACCACCACCACCACCACTATTTTTCAATTGAACGCTGTGCGAGCGGGCTCTGCACATAGCGGGCGATTGCCGCGGTGCACTCACTTTGGTGTGAGACTGACTCAGACCCTATAGCTGATCAGCCCAGGTCAGAAAGACCGATGAGAGAGCTTTTGCGGCCTACAGGCTTTGAGCGAAGTGGCAGAGATCAGCCAAAGCTATTTTGCAGGCTGCAAAATATCGAGCTCCAGCTTGTTGTGACGTACTTGATGTCGGGATATGATCCGCGTGGTGCATGCTGGCAGCAATGCAGCTGTAACGTGTCTGGCAGCGGGCTTGGGCATGTTTTTCCGACTGACAGCGGCGGCATCAAGCAGAAGGGCTATCAGTCCGTCTTGGAAGAGACACGAAGAAACAGGCATCGCCTCCGCTGCTAGTTGCGCATTCTGCCATTGGCACCATATGTGTCAGGCAGGACTCACTGATGCCGGGAGCGGCTGCCACTGGCCCCAGAGTCTGAGCCAGTTGGAGACGGCATGCAGGGCTCTGCCTGACCGCTGCTTGCCGCCGCCGGATGTCTGGCGTCGAGTGTCGACCCCAAAAAGCTCGGAAGGTTCTCCCATTTGTGAATCCGGAGCTAGGGGAGAGGTGGTGCGACCATGTTGGTGGTCTGGGCTGTGAATCTTATCAGCCATGCTGGGTCAGCCTTAAAAGCTGCGGGTAAGCCTGCGCATGCCTAAAGCATGCTTGGCCTTGACGTGGGGGGGGCCATGCCCACCTATTGTGGGGTCCGGCCTTCCCACGCACAGGCACCCTATTGGTGCACGCGATCCTAGTCTGGGAGGGCCAGCACTCACCCCTTGAGGGTGAGTCAGAGTCACTCCTGTCTTCTCAAGAAAAGGAGGTAGCAGTCTTCCATTACATGTTTGCGATCTGAGGCCGAGGCCGGGTATGGGCGGGTGGCGTCATCACCCACATATAGGACGCCTCCGTTGGGATGAATCCAGAAGGACCGGTAGTGCCCGGTGTGTATGTCAGCACCTATGTGAAAGACTCCCGAAATGACTGCGTACTGGTGCCATTGCCGGACCTGTCCCTCAGTCCAAGACGGCAGAGAGATGTGCCTGCGCAGATCTAACGGGGTTCGTCGCTTTGTGCCATCCATCCATCGAGCAACAGTGACTGGTAAGATGTCTGGGGCCCATGACAGGGCACGCTGGAACATGTGGTTGTACCAAGCCGTACAGGCCTGCTGCAGTGTGCGACAGGCGGAGGAAAGCGGCAGCAGGAGCGGCGTGAGACCATCGTCCTCACTTTCCGGCACTCCATTGGTGCGTCCCTCCCAGCGAGCTGGTTGCAGAGTTCCCGTGTTGTGCTCTACCAGATACGTTGCAAATTCGGAGGCGTCTTGTTGACGGCCATCGAATCGCCATCTTGGCACTAGGGACCGGAGAGCGAAGAGGCTTGAAGGATTGATGGGCCTCGCATCCATTGGATCCGCTTCCGTGCTTGTGCAGTGTTGAACCAGTGGTTCCAGCTCCGCTACATTGGACGCAGAGTCAAGCGCCGCTAAGAGGGCTTGAATGGTCGCGTTGACGTAGCATGTGTTACCCGAGTTCAACATGTGCCGCATACGAGAGTACAGGCCCGGCGGGAGAGTGCTGCCGGCGGCACCTGTCGCTGCCATGGCGACAGGTGGCGATGAAGCCACGGCAGCTGGCTTGTCTGCAGCCGCGAAAAAACCACTAAGTGACATTGTCACCGCGGTCTTTGGATGAGGGTTGGAACATTGTTCCCGCATCTTGTCGGTGCCTTGTACCTTGTGCCACCCAAGCAGGACCTGAAACAGGACAATGCACTGCTCCGGGTGCTTGCGTTTGTCATATACCTGCAGCTTACAGAAGGGACACGAGTGCCCCTTGATCATCTGCACTGAATATGCCCTGCAAAGCTGAATTGCTGCCGGACCGTCACGTTGCCAGGCCAGTGCATGGGCCTGTCTGTGATGATTTTTCATCTTGGTGTGGTCCGGGGTCCAAAAACCGCACAAGATGCACCGATGTTTGAGCTCCTGAGCTTCGGGCTGGGTGGCAAGGGCACTGAGTCGGTTGCTTGGCGAGCTCTGCACCTTAGCTCGGAAGGCCGCCAAGCCCTGGAGGGCCTGACCTTGCAGCTGTTCCTCCGTGGTGAGGGAGATCTGGCGCAGGCGATCCGGCTGCGTGCAGGCCCCGACAAGAGATGGTCGCGTAGGCCTTTCCATTGATGGAAGGCCTTGTCGCATGCAGAACAGACAGGTAGACCATCCTTAGAATGCCGACTGCGATCAAAGGAGGGGGGAATGTACCTCGACACGTGTTCTCGATGCATTCGCGTACGTGCATGTGTAAGCCGTGCGCAGAGACAAAGCCAGACCCGCAGTGAGGGCAGGAGTGAAGTCTCTGCTGCGAGGCTTCAGTAGATGCCGGAAGGTTTTCGACCTCTCTCAGCATGTCCTGCAGGTCCTGTACAACGTGACTCATTTGCGTGACATCACCATATGTAGCTGGCCGGGACGGCTGCCGGTGTGCTTCTGAGCTCGTTGCTGAGGGACCCAGCTGGGCCCATGGGCCTCGCGTCACCGAGGATGCGCTTAGAATGTTCGCCGGCAGGGCTGAGGGGATGGCCTCGGGGTTGCTTGGTCTTTTGCACAATCGCTTAAGTCTGGAAGTCATCCTAGCTTGAATTTTAGCTACCGGGTCCTGGATTGAGTGCAGACGGTACAGGTCTGCTGTGGGCGTGTGGCTGACATGAGCAGGTTGATTGAGGACTGAGCGTATCTTGTGCG